TACCTGGTGTTTCGGCCGACAATTTATCTTTATCCAAATCGATTTGCGTGACATTAAACAATAATTGAGTACTATAAATTTTTAAATTTCTAGATAATTTTGTTTTACAATTACTGGATGTAAAGTACCAGAATCAGCTAGTGAGACATGTCTGAACGGATGTTAATTTTAATTGCTGACTTAACATGTGCTCAGCGGTGAAGGAAAACACCGAAAATACCCTCCATAATTATTATAACAAGTAATAATAACAAAAAATATTTCGAAGAAATGTGAAGTTCGCCAATCCGCAAAGGGGCAATCCGCATGGTGGACTATGCCCAGCAATGAGACATTATAGGCTGTTACTTTACTTTTTTATGTAATATTTTGCATATAAATTCATAATTAAATTTGCTATAAAATTATTTCAATACTTTCACTTTGTAAAAATAATTATTTTATGTTATATCGTAATATGTTATTGCGAACTTTAATGATCGTGTGTCTGAAGACTGTACAGTTCAAAACCACCAGCTTATGAATTGTATCTCTGTTTTGTCCAAACCAGAACTTTGATAAAAGCGAACGATCGTTGTTTATTACTTTACGGTCATGCTGGTTTGAAACTGCTGAAGGTAAACAAGATGGTAGTAAGATAAATTTAATTTACACAGAAATGCGTTCCAACTGAGAGCGAAAGGTAGGTATTTGCCAGAAACTCACTTTTTGAATCTGCATAAAAATTCTTAGTTAAACAGAACAAAAATGTAGATAACTATAGCGAGCTGCAGTTGCCGAGACAGGAAGATAGGTTCCTGTTTTGTAACAAAACGTCGATTCTAATCAGAGGAGCGCGCGTCCGAAAAATGTTTTGGGGCAGATTGGGGCATGACGACCCTTTGAGTAAATAAATGTGTATAAATGCAGAAATATAGCCGTAACACTTTTTTTACCCTATGGAACGAAATTTTATTCTAGGAACGGTCTGTCGAATGATATAAAAACTGTATTATTCAATGCTTTCATTATAATGGAATTTATTATAATTTATTTGTATTATTTATTATATATTATATTATTTATTATATATTGATACGTAATTTAATAACATAATTTTGTGATTTAAATTGTTTTATTGCAATTAAGAATAAATTAATATTATTCTTAATTGCAATTACAAAGGGTAACTAAATGCCTTTTGGCACAGTCAGCCAGGGGCGGGAAGTTAAATAGTGTTATATCTTATTATAAAGTTATTGGTGCAATAATAATATTCAATTATTTATTATGATAGTTAATACGATTATAATAAAATTAGTTAACTCTTTTACAAATTATTTTTATCAACGATTTTTTTTCGAATAACATTGAACAGTTTTTTGAACAACATAAAACTTTTGATCAATTCTTCGAAAGATAAACCTTCTTTAGTGATTCATATTACTTAAAACACAGTTAATAATATTATATAACATTATTTATTACAAAAAGTTTTACATTTTTATATGAGAACTGTTTAATTTATATAACTTAATAAATGTAAAGAAAAAAATAGTTTTAAAAGTAAATCGACCGCGGGGTCTATACGGGGTCATTTAATTAACAACAAAAAGTAGTCTGTAATTTTGTAAAGTATAAGATAAAATTTGGACATAGTTTAGAGTAAAGTAAGGTTTAACTTAAGCTCTAACACTATAGGAACACCTTGACCCGAACCAATATTAAGGCAGATTTTATCGCCATCAGCCCCTACTAAATTTCATTTCGTGAGGCCACTCTTTGTGGTTCAATAATACTTTTAGATTATTATTTTCAGACTTTTCACGGTTTCAAACTTACCTAAGGATGATAAACTCGGACTGCCGGAATGATGAACACGCGAGCGCGGTTCGAATTAGTCGCGGTCCTTAGCTAAGAAGGTATACGCGTTAAGCGGGAGTTAGAAATAAAAGTAAAAAAATAAATAATAATATTTAAGTAATGAAATTTAGCGGACAATATCGAAAATTACGCGATCAGACTCCAAGGAATTACTCTTTTTTTATTTTATTTTTTTTTATTCAACTTTTTAAACTCTGTAGGAACAAAGGGTGGATTCGTAAACTCGCGTCAAGTGAGAATAGGGTTATTTTGTGCGCGTCCGGACTTCAACCCTGCCTCACCGACATTGCGGTGGCAGCAACGCGCCTCTCTCAGCTTAACTGCGCAAAGTACCTGCGCACTCTCGCCCCACCATAATGTCACCTATGTTGGAAAAGACTTCATAAAGCGGGTAGGTTTTATTTTCGACAAGCGCGTTTCCTTTTTTTATCATGGCATGCATATCTGTGGTGGAAATAAGGTACCGGCTGAGCCGAGATCAGTTTTTTTTTATAGTTTTCGCTGCATATCTGAAAGACGAAGTGAAGTGAGAACTAAAATTTAATTTACGTGTAAGTGAAGTTGTATTATCGGCATCAAAACTTGGCCGAATTTGAATAGAAATCAAAGATTTTTCAGCGGTATTCTATTCACTTAAAGTTCTTAAAAATCTCAAAATGTAGTCTTATCAAATAATATTTAACTAGGAATATGAGTGCAAGAAAATTATTTAATTTCGTCCTCATTTTCGTTCATAAAATTAACTCGTATGTACTTTAAATTGAATATGGCGGTCCGTTTAAGACTGTTTGTATTGAGCCATGTTCATAAATTTCTAACTTGAGGCTTTTTTAAAGTTAGTTATTAAGGACGTGTTAGCGTTAATACGAGTATATTACGGAAGAAAAGTACTTTTCTTTTGAAATTTGTTAGAACATTTGAAAGACTGTTTGTATTGAGCCATTTTCATTCATAAAATTAACTCGTATGTACTTTAAATTGAATATGGCGGTCCGTTTAAGACTGTTTGTATTGAGCCATGTTCATAAATTTCTAACTTGAGGCTTTTATAAAGTTAGTTATTAAGGACGTGTTAGCGTTAATACGAGTATATTACGGAAGAAAAGTATTTTCTTTTGAGATTTGTTAGAACATTTGAATTGTAACACAATGTATTTAATTTATTGCAGTGAAGAAATAGGCATATTTACAAGATAAAAGCGTGTTTGTGTAACAGTTACACACTTTTTCTCTTAAAAGTTTAAAAAGAAGAAATGGTTTTCAGATTTTTTTTTTGGAAAAATTATAAGCGATCAGGCGGTTCATCTGATGTTAAGTGAAAATTGCCACCCGTGGGCCTGCACCTCAGAGGTTGTAGATTTGTTGTCAATCTTTATTTTTTCTTTGTTGTTTGTAAAAACTAAATTTAACAAAGACATTATCTTAGCTACAATAAAACGAATCAAAATGTTAATTGTGTCAGGACAACAAATTATTTATCTTTTTATTTTTCAGAGAGAAGAAAACGGTTTGCTAAAATGGAGTTGGTAAAGGTATATTACTAAAAAAAATAATTTAAATCAACATGTTACTTTTCAATTAAGAATCAACTTGGCACGGTTGTTCTATGCTGGGAAATTTATGCGGTAAGTTTAGTGTGCGACATTTGGCAGCGGTTGATATTTTTCTTCCGGTGAGTTAGAAAGCAGAGAATTAAATGGACGGGCCTAATAGGCGGAATTCTATACTTAGAATAGTTAAAGCCGTGCCAAAGCTTCTCGATAACCGGGAAGGGGGTTAATACGGTGTAAATAACTTTTTGATTGTAGCAAACAAGGGAGCGGCTTACTTTAAAGGAATTACGGTATTATAAATCCTAATCACTACATAGTATAAAACGAAGTCCCGCTGTCTGTCTGTCCCTAGATCTTTAAAATATGTATAATATGTATAATACATACGGGTGCAATGTATTATACATAATACAGTATGTATAATACATTGCACCCGTGCGAAGCCGGGGTGAGTCGTTAGTATCATATATAAAATGACAAAAACATCTATACGTGTCACCTTCAGTTTTCAATAGTACTTTTTACATTTACAATCGCATCAAAATCCAACGAAGTATATAAATATTGACTCATAAATAGTGTTCGTTTCATAGTCATTTTAAGTACATAATATTACAACATGCCCAGTTTAAATAAAAACATATCAAGACTTATTTTGACAGTGCAAGCCGCTCCGATTATTAATAACTTGCCCTATAAGAGTCATATGATTTTAACCACTAACGCATTTTGAGGTGTTAGTGGTTCAATGAGATAAGTTAGATCAATTTATGGAATATACATAACAATCGATATTCGACAGTTGTTTGAAACACGTAGATACGTATAAAAACGACATTACTAAGACCGGTAGCTCGGCAGAAGGAGTAAAGGTCCGGTGAGATAGGATTTGCGTGCAGCACGCGATGCTAACATAAACTAAACATCGGCGTGATGTCAGAACGAGAAAATGGAGGCCTTGCGCCGAAGAAAACGCCATGGTGTTAGTTTTTAATGCAAATCGGAATATTATTACTGTTAAATTATACATCTATAAATTATTCCGAAATGTTGGAATCACTACATTCAATACGTTGGCGTGAAACATTTCAGCATGACGACTTCCACACTTGTTCATGGTTCGTATCGAGCACATAATATATCTCTTACTTTGTGGCATTTTTCTAATCATTGCATGATTGAACCTGAACGGATAAATTATCATATTCTAAGAGTAAAGCAGGAGTACCTATTAATATGCTACGAACACCGGTCTACGTTACTACACTGTTCGTAGCCTATTATCATGTAACGATTAATAAATAGCATAACATTAATAATTTTGGACATATTTTAATACAAGTATTGATTAAGCAAAGCAGACGCAAAAAAATGCTAAGTTCGTCATACAATATTTTGCAGTACTGCGTGGTTCGACTTCCAACAACAACTTCCAACGACAACTTCGACACAAGTTCGATCCACCTTTGTGCCAAAGGGTTTGCCCTTGGCACATAAGGCGGTTAGCTGTTCACTACGCCAATCGGGACATCAAAGGTACATATCGTACCATCAATTTTGCAATGATGTGGGAAACGCTCTCACCTCGTGATGTTCTGGTATATAGTTCCTTCTTCTCTGCGTTGAGTCGCTATACCTCGCCGAGGGTACAGGATCTTCACCGGAGACTGCTCGCTGATACGAAAGCCGTCTGCCTTTGGTGTCCGTTTTAGGGCCGTACAATTTATTTTCGGGTATGCCCGAAAAGTCTTGGTAGGAGTGACACATTTGCATTTCGTGGCCCTTTTCATCTTGAATGACCCGCTTAAAGTAATTTGTGAGGCCCTCACTTGCAAGCCAAGTTACTCTGAAAAAGTCATTGTCAAACAAATGATTACAATACACAGTATCTATCTGTCTTATATCGATTTGACTTAAATTTAAGTAGTAAAGGGGGCCGAAATAAGTGTTATCGCTTGAATTAGTTACGTTTGAAAAATTTATATGTAATGTTTTCAGCCATGAATTAATTAAAAGTCGATGTCTCAATTGACACTTAACGCCCGTGTTTGGACAAGTGGTGTCCAATTAAAATGCAAAAGTCATGGCGATATCGCACAATACGTATTCACTATTCGATTCGAACGATGGGCATTTCACTTGTTATTACTGTTGCAGTAATTGCCCCGGGTTAAAAGTTGGATTACTGCATGAGCCGAGGGCATTGTTACTCCATTATACGTACAATGAATAAGGATGTAATAAAAAAGCCGTGTATAATTAATCGATCGATTGGAGATTTCATTAATACAATGATTGGAAGTTCAGATCCAGATCTTATGAAATTTAGTAAGATAATCCCCGTCTTCAAAAGTGGGGATAAAAATGATCCAGGAAACTACAGACCTATCTCCATATTGCCATCTCTGAGTAAAATTTTTGAAAAACTAATTTTAAATCAGCTCTTAGTACATTTTAATATGAACAAAATTTTTCACAATGAGCAATATGGATTCACTAAAGGCAGATCGACAACAGATGCGGGTATCGCACTTGTCAAACATATTTATAACGCCTGGGAAGGGTCGCAAGATGCAATAGGTGTTTTTTTGCGACCTTTCAAAAGCTTTCGACTGCGTGGATCACAAAACCCTCCTTCTAAAGCTTGATTATTATGGCATTCGTGACATCGCCCTCAATCTCATTGCTTCTTATCTTAATAATAGAATTCAAAAAGTATCTATAAATGATGTAAATTCCGCAGGGTCCCCCATGAAAATGGGTGTCCCACAAGGATCGATCTTGGGCCCATTATTATTCTTAGTATATATAAATGATCTCCCCTTTTATGCCAGTGAGTTATGTGATGTTGTACTGTTTGCTGACGACACATCGCTTATTTTTAAGGTTGACCGAAATGTATCGAATTATGACGACGTGAATAGTGCACTTTCGCGTATCCTCCACTGGTTTACCATTAATAATATGGTGTTAAATGCTAAAAAAAAAACTAAATGCCTTCTTTTTGCCCTTCCCAACGTAAGAAGGCAAAGTTTTAGCTTAAAATTGAATAGCGTAACCCTTAATCCTGTTGAGTCCGCTGTATTCTTGGGAATCACAGTAGATTCAAAGCTCCAATGGAGTCCCCATCTATCATCTCTTGCGAATAGGTTAAGCTCCGCTGTTTTTGCAATTAGGAAGGTTAGGCAGCTATCAGACATCGACACTGCCAGACTTGTTTACTACAGTTATTTTCACAGCATCTTGTCGTACGGCATTTTGTTGTGGGGGAGTGCATCTGATATAAATTCAATATTTATTATTCAAAAAAGAGCTGTCCGAGCAATTTATAACATCGGAGCCCGGAATACACTCAGACATCTTTTTTAAAGAGATTAATATACTCACTGTTGCGTCTCAATATATTTATTGTAATATTTTGTATGTTAAACAGAATATTAATAATTATCAAAAGAATAGTGACAGACATAAACTAAATACTAGAAATAAGGACAAACTAACTACGCCATTATTTCGCCTACAAAAAGTAAACAGATCGTTCATGGGGCAAAGTGTGCGCATGTATAATAAAATCCCACAGTCGATGTTAAGTCTGCCACTTGATGAATTTAAACGAAAAATTAAAAGTACACTTATGGCTAAAGCCTATTATACTATTGCCGAATATCTTGACGACGCCAATGTGTGGGGTTAATACTGTTGATACTCACGTAGGCTAAAACAAGACTATTGAATTGAAACTGATTTTTTTAAAAAGAGCAACTGTTGAGTTTCTTGCCGGTTTCTTCTCAACAGAAACTGCTTTCCGAACCGGTGGTACCTTACGAACGTGTTAATTTCTTGTAAAATTTTGACGTTTCATAAGAACGCGCAAGCGTCTATGTGAATAAAGATATTTTTATTATTTATTATTATTTATTATTATTAGTTACGTTCTACGTAACGAAGTAGTAAAAACGGTTTTATTGGTGAACAATTAGAGCCACACACTTGCCTCTATCGTCAATTAATTATCCGTTTCAATAATTCATTTGACAATAAATGCGATCTCGTATTTGTCATTTGGGGCAATAATAGTTAACCGTACAAAAATGCATTTAATGTGTATTTCACAAACAAAGAGGCACAGGCAGTTTGATTTTTAATTATTTTTCTTTTATTACTCTAAAGTAGTATCACTTCTTACGTTTCTCGTGGTATTTATGAAAACTCTGTTATAGTCGCTATGAAATAAGCTTCGAGACTTTAGCTGGATTTACACGAGTGAGTTCACGTAATCCGAGCGCCAATAGCTTTTCAGTTCATACAAAATGCATTGACTTGAGTAAAAGTATTAAAAGTTACACATTTTACAAAATCTTACTTCGAAAATACTAGTGCAGTAAGGCGCCGAATATAAATCTCGTAGTGCAAATTTCGCTTTCAAGTACACAAACTGATAACAAATAATATATTTAACACTGTGGTAGGATTGTGCAACTACTTTGGGTGTTGCACTAATAGACGGGTTCGTTTGGGGAACTACCACGACCGCACAGATGAACCAAATTGAAGTAAAAAGATTACGCCGTTGCGTTACGTCTGGTAAGTGAGTGCGTCCACTGTTTTTAAACGTTAGCAACTCATCTGCCAGTCGTAATAAATACTTTCCTTCATGGATCCACTTACTAGCTTGCCAACGTTTCACTTAAACGTTATAAGTTATTAATTTCTAACCATAAAAGAAATATTATGATTACAAATCACTTTACTTTAACTTAAATAAGTTATTTAGAAACTCTCCGTAACTTAGCTTAATAGCAGCTTCGTATGGTGATTATAATGCTGCTGACTGTAATTTGTAGGCTTGATAAACCCGTGGTTTGGTGCTATCAAAATTTCGAAAGGATAATGGGGGAAAGGGAACAATGATTTGCCGCGGAAATAAATCCCTAGGCTGAAGGGGTGGTTGAATAATATATTCATATGTATAAAAAGTTATTCATATGTATAATAACGGAAATCTTGAAAGTACTAGATGTTCGATAAGATTTTGCGTTGGGTCGATGTGAGAGACGCCGTGAGCGTGTATTAATTAAAATAATTTATAATCGATACACATAACTAAATAGAAACAACTATATAAACATAATAAAATCGAGTAAATATCAAGACAGATTTTTATTAGCTTTTATATTTTAACTCAATAAAACGATAAGCAAAGGTACAACAATAAATGCTGCAAATAATGGAAATGATCATTCAATTTCTCGGTCACCCCGCCTCGAGGAGAGTTTCCACTACGCGGGTAGTCGAATAATCTTAATGATCCTTTTACCCGATTAAATAAATATATAATCTAAATGAAATTGTTTTGTTCGATTTGTTTTACTGTAATAAATAAGTCTCCGAAGTCGAGTGGGCGAGTAAGGTTTAAAAAGAAAAGTCATTTATTGTATTAGTTTTATTCTCTGCATACCTAAAGTTAAATATAAAATCCTATACGACTAAGAGCTCAGCTGGTTACATTGCATTTGGTTGGCGAAAAATTGACGACGTGACCACGAATTTTTCTAGGCCTATTGTGGTTATCTCTATAATGTTTTATTTTATATTTACACTTTAGCACTTAAGAAATAAGAATTACGAAATATACTGTGATTATTGACGGGGGCAGTAGTTTTCCATAAACTGGCTACTATTGAGGCATTTTCACATGACAACAAGAAAGTAAACTGTTTTACTACAATCTTGTCATATAATAAAAACGATGTGTAATTATTAACTACCAAATAATAAATAAATCAAATGTACACATCACAACTTATGTTCACTAGTTTAGATTAATTATACTATAATATAAAATAGTAACTAGAGCATACACGACATAGATGCATATAAGGGCTATTCCAATTAATTACAAAGGCCAGGATTCGAAGTCCGGTCATTTTTCGATCGTGGAAAAGGTTTGGGTTTAAAGGAGCATGGGCATAACCTATAATAACCAATCTAAACCAATGATACATTGCACTGCTATAGCAAACCAAAGAGCGAAAACAATATATCGAAATTTTAGTAAATAATGATTTTCTAAGTTTAATATTAATAATTTAATATTAAAGTGAACACAAATAAGTTTATTTTATGATATAATACGATAATAAGCTCTTGTAGATTGCCTGTGAGCATACATATTTAAATCTTACTAATGTATTCCATAGTATTATTATATGCCATATTATATTCCATAGTATATATTTCCAAGTACCTGTTAGATTTAGAAGCCTTTTTTCGCGTTCGACCTTGTGGCGAATCTAAACCGGAACTCATGGATATGGCTCGAGATTTCAGGAACGAATCTTGAATATATGCTTCATTTAAACCTGAATAAAATTATAGAGTGATTCAAAAATGTAAATTTTCATTTAGGCAACATTAAAGAAACATGTTAAGATAACGGGGTTGACAAGGGAACAAATAGAAGCGGCTACTTGTGAGTTAACGCAAATCACTCAGGCTGTAGGTACAATTTCAGCTGGTGGACTAAATGTACTAATCGCAATACTCCGCATCAAGCAAGAGTGTGCTGGTGGGAGGAAATGTCAAGAGGATTAAGCACGTCGAAAGATTGATCACAATACAACAGGAATAGAAGAAGTCGAGAAGTGGGTGGAAAACTCCGATATCCGAATTCCCAAGAATTTTTGGAGCTTCAACCAAAGTAAAGTAAAGTAAAGTAACAGCCTATACATGTCCCACTGCTGGGCAAAGGCCTCCTCTGTACAGAGGGTATCAGGGCATAGTCCACCACGCGGCCCCACTGCGGATTGGCGGACTTCACATATTTTCGACTTCGCTTCAACCAAGTCGCCCGTTAATATCTGTTAAATTAGATCCTAGTAGAGATATTCTTAAACATATCTTTCGCAGAGGTAAGGATATCACACCGATAGTAGTAAAGTATAAAGATCAAAATGAAAAAACGAAAGTATTAAATACTTTTGTTTTCTCATTTTAGTTGTAAAATTATATAACGTTGAAAATGAGGACGAGAAACTGAATAATCGTGTTAATCTTGGTATGACAATAAATGCCAAAGTTTTTATTTTTGTGTCTGTATTACTAATATCTAAAATAAAGACTGGCTTCTAGAAAAAAAGTCCTTAAAGACGGTAGTTTCAAATACTACTGGGTATCTAAAGCATAGGTAATGTTTAAAAAAGGAGATGGTCAACCAGCCGTACATGTAAATAACCTAAAAGACTTAGAAGTCATACAACACGTTGAGAACCTACAATGACTATATAGTTCTGTCAATTTTATATTGGTATCATTTATGTTGTATCCCATACTAAATTTTTCTTTAATTTATTTTATTATTACTTATTCTACTACTTTTTACGTTTTTTACAATGAATGCGTCATATGATCATATTACAATTATCTACATCCTAAATACTCATATCAAATAACTGTTATATTTGTATCTTTATATCTATATATACTATAATAAGAGTAGAATCGGCGTGTCTGTACATTGAATGTATTTATAAAAATATGAAATAGGGTATCATAAAAGAGTTATAGGAAACATAAAAAGCATTTTTGGAATTTTTGTATGTCTGTCTGTACGCGATAAACTCGGAAACTACTTATCGGATTTTGATGCAGTTTTCAATGGTTACTTAAGCGAAGCTTGGAGCAACATTTAGGCTTTGTTTCATCTCAATAGGTGTGTCTTCCGAACATACTTGGTACAGTCGTTTTATCCGAAAACAAACTGATGAGTTCAGTATTTGGAGAACTTTCAAGTTGAACACTTGAAAGTTCTCCAAATACATAACCAAAAATTTTTCTGATGATATCAGGATAATTCTTGATTATGTGAACGCATTATGCTCACTGCAAGCAATGACCAAGCCACAAATTAGCCGGTTGAGTTTTTAAATTCGCTTATTGCAAGTGGCCTCTCTGCATATAAAATCCCGTGCAATGTCGGTGTAAAATTGTGCAATGGCGGATTACATTTACAACTTCATATAAACTTATCTTCATATAAACGTAACTTCTCTACAAAGGCACATCATTCACGCTAAGATCGTCATTGGGTGTGGCGAGACAAAATTTTGTTTTTTTTTCGCGAATACAACTCGCTTGATCACTTACCATGGCGCAGTTGTCAAGGCATTGCCTTCGGCGTGGGTTCGATTCTCACACGGGACAATTATTTGTGTGACACATAGTAATTGTTTCCCAGAAGGCAAAACTATGAATGTGGTATTTAAAGTGATATTTTATTGTACACTAGCTTATCGCCCGCAGTTCGGCCCGTATGTACCACATTTTATATCGTGCTTAAAAAGTAGCCTTCCTCAATAAATTGGCTATCTAACAGTGCGAGAATTTTTCTAATTGGATCAGTAGTCGCTAAGATTAGCGAGTGCTAATAATTATTATTGTAATATATAATATTGCATAATTTATGAACCGATTTGAATAAAATTAACACTAAATGTTAAGTGAAGTACTACAATGAATCAGTGAAGTTTGTACTCAAATCAGTTAAGCTGTTTCTGAGATTATCGCGTAAAATATTATTAAAGATCCCCCTTTAATAATATTTTTTCTCAAATGTTTTCCATGTCCAGACAAAGACAAGTTACATTTCTATTATATGTATATATATATCTGTCCCTTCCCCCTATTCCAGGGGGACGTAGTCGCGAGCAACAGCTAGTCGATAATATACAGGGAGAATTTACAAAAAGTGCCCAAATTTACACAGAAAGTTCAGACTCGCTACCGGTAGTATAATCGTTTATTGAAATAAAAACAAGCTTTTTTTTTACACACCAAGTATTAATTCTAACTCAGGGCTTTGTTCCGAAAAAAGGACTACAACAAAATCGCCTTCAGAGGCAATTGTAACAGATTCTTCAAAAAGATCAGGGATGACGTCCTCCTGCAGATTGCCGACGAGGACTTTTACACGACGAAAATATTTATTTAACATACAGTAATAAATAAATAATAAATATTTGTGTGTTTAATTTGTAAATAATGTGAACATTACAAAACTGGTGTTTCACTCCAATCCGCAACTCCTAGCTCGTAATAATACTCCATACCGTTTATCATTCAATCTCAGTCAATGCTGTGTTGATCACGATGATATAGAACGAAAATAAAATATCTTTGGCTTCTGTATTTTAGTATAATATAATTATTTTTATAAAAATTTCAAGAAGCCAAAAAAATTTAAATAAATATTTTTGGCTTCTGTAATATAGTATAATATAATTAGCTACTTATTGACTCGACTATAAAATACTTATGTGTTACTTTATCAGTTTAAACTGTTTCTGTTTATCCCTTATAATGTGAAAAGTTTGCTATATTGCAGCATTCTTTGCTCATTGTCCCCTTAGTGCTGTTGCAACAAAAAATAATTCTTTAATTTTTTTGTTGTTTTTTTGTTATCATAATCGGTACGATTTTAATATCGTTAAAAGTCAGTGCAAAACGAACGTGTTGCTGGTAATTTTAGATCGTACCATAATTTTAGGGTTACGTCCAAAATCAAATCCTATAATATACGATAGTTTATACTTTATAATAACAAATAATATATCTATTTTTAGAGTTCCATACCCAAAGGATAAAACGGGACCCTATTACTAACTAAGACTCCGCTGTCTGTCTGGCTATCTGTCCGTCTGTTAGGCTGTATTTCATGAACCGTGATAGTTACGACGGTTGAAATTTTCACAGATGATGTATTTCTGTTGCCGCTATAACGGCAAACACTAAAAAACAGAATAAAACTATTCAAGAGGGGCTCCCATACAACAGACATGATTTTTTTTGCCGTTTTTATAGATAATGGTACGGAACCCTTCGTGCACGAGTCCGACTCGCGCTTGGTCAGTTTATCTCATCACTTCTTAATAAATGTAGAATATCCACATTGGTTGTATGTAAAAAGCATTAAAAGACGTCGTTACGTTAATTAAGAATACTAACTATGGACGCTGTCTGAAGCACAATCTTCTAGTGGCTGACTTGCAAACAGTGCTGGCTGGCTACCTGCGGGGCTGCAGTGATCAAGCGGTTCTCCAGGACTCATAGATATCGTGCTTGCCATGGACGAGCTCCGCGCAATTGTCGACAGACTTGTCGCGCTATTTCTTAATTCCTACAAACATATTAATTATCACTCAATGAAACGTTTATTTTTTAATTTTAGTTCCCGACTTTTCGAACCCTTTTCAGCGTTCATGGTCACGGGACGTAGAGTTATGTACCTATTTTTACGATAAATCCGTAAAAACTGTTTCATTCAGCAATGTGTAATGGAGTGAACACAATTATCATATTATTATCATCTATAACTTATCATTTTTCCTAAAATTATTTATTGTTTACAGGATGATACTATTAAACCTAACGTTTATGAAAAACATACTCAAAGTTAATGTCATGTAAAAAAAAGACATTCTAGTTTCGGGTTTAATATTTTAATTAAAATAAATTGCATAATAATTAAAATATAAAGTAAGATCAACAAACGTTACGAGATAATTATTAGTCGATTTTTATGTAAATAATACTATTGATAATGAAAATTATGGTTTAAATAAACTGAACCGTTTTGTAACATAACTACAACATAAAAAATGTCTCTCGACAAGTTTTTAGGCATGAGATACGCCAAAAACTTAAACTAAAGTACTTTACGTCGCGATTGTTGTATTTTTACATTACACTAATTACCGGCTATTATTAATGACTTTTACTTGGGTATTATTTGGTTAGGCGTAAGTGTTGTACAAATTCAAATCGTTATTAATTGTATTGATGCTAAATGCAATTGGTGCTAATTATGTAGGCGAACATTAATAATAGTTAATTAGTTTAAATATTGATTCTGTTCAACACTTACAATAAATAGTTTAGTACGCACGTGTCAATTTTTTTATCAACTTCTTTAAGGTACCTGCTGATTGTGTAATGGGTTTTCACTGTAGTGACCATTGGCAGGAGAACAATGCTCGTTTAGAGATTGGAGTGAAAGCGATTTAGATCCTCTCCTAGGTACGGGTTGTGATTTTCCAGTTTGTGATTGTCTTCTGAATATTTCCGTTGTATTTCTAAGGAAACTGTCCATCTTTTTTCTGAAAAATGAAGACTTGCGTTCTAGCGGAGATTTTCCAATAGAATGTAAGTCCATTTCTGATTGTGATAAACCTTCCCGTCTTGATAGCATGGTTTGATCCAAGGACAATTTCCTTTCCTTATGTTTAATTCGTCCAATTTCATCCGTTGTTTTTGGCACGGTCAACACATTAGCGCCGTTTGAATTAGCTGGTTCGTTTTCTAAATCCATTTTTAACTCTGCGTTTTCATTCGTACGTGTTACTTGATCACATTCTTCATCAATATTTTGTGATGTTTCATTGTCTTCTAGTTCTACGTGTATGCTCACAGAAGGCAAAATAACATCACAATTTGTTCCACTTGACGATTGGTCTGCAACTGCATTATCTTGCGGGTTACTCCCAGTGTCTTCTTGAAAGCAATCTTCGTTGTCATTGAAATCTTTGTTATTCATAACTTTGCTTCCTTGTGGTGCTTTGATCCTCATACTGCTGTTCATTTTAACTGTTCTCAAGATCTCTTTAATTTTTATGTTTTCCCTTAAGTTTTTAACGTCTGAAACAAAAAGCGGGTACTTTTCCACGGGTTTGCTCTTTTCAAATTTTTTCCCCGATTTATGTTTGGATTTATCCATTTTCAATTTAAACAGTCTTTACGTAACAAAATTTCTATCACAATTTAAGCAAACAACTTGACACATAAATGTGAGGAACTTATTCTAGTGGCACTATTATTTGAGGACATTTATTATCAGTAACACAACGGCGAGCACTCCACCTGTACAAACCATATAATCGCGGTGTAGGAAGTGTGACGATGTAACTTTATCAGCATAACTGAAATTCTATTGGCTCACGTGGGCACAGATTATAAAAGACATTTTTAAATGTGTATTTTATATGTCTTAACTTATTCTGATGTATAGACAAACATTTGTAATTTAATCTGTTGGAATAATTGTCGAATAATTTATTAGATCAAATCGTTAAAATAATTATTAGCCTAAACTAAAACAAACATGATAACCATTCCAAAAGAATCATGACATGGTCGCGGCCACAGATTAACAAATATTATACAAGAACATAAATAGTGTGTTGAATAGTTGATAATTAGAGTGTGTTGATTTTAAAGTGAGTTAATGATTTTGAACCATGTTTGTGTGTGGAAAATGTGTTAACTAAATTCTACCCAATAAATAAAAATGAAAATATTTACTTATGCAGTACAGGTGTTAGCTAACGTTAGTAATATATGTATGTAACTGAGTTATTAGAACTGGTTCCAATATCTATATATAATGTTATTTTTATTATGTTGTAATAATTGTATAAAAATGAAATATGTTAGAACGAGAAACGTTTATTCATTTCAGAGTAAAGGGAAAGAAGGAGATTTATGTATTAAAATGCAAAATAATTTGTGCCATTACTTTATTTCTTAGAGGGCCCTCACTTTATGTTTTTGCGCTTTGAATTTATAGTAGACCTTTTGTGTTGTAATTGTGTTAATAAGCAACATGATATTATATTTCATATAATGAGACATATTGGTTTCTAAAACACTGACCCCAGTACGCCGACTACGGCTTAGTATTTAGTGCCTCATTATACTATACGTGGCATGAACACGATATCTTTACACCAGAGATAATTTTTGATAATTTTATCTACTATCTTGCCCAGTTCACGGCATCTCGATTCAACTTTCACATTTTTAGTCAAATGTATTCTTAATATTTAAGTATATCACACGAATCTATGCAATCATTGTTAAAGTAAAGATAAAATTTATTTTGTATTTGATATACTTTTTCGCTGCATAGCTTTCGATACAGTAACAGGGTTAAGTGAATGGCACCGTGGTCATCTATACTAAGAACATTAAGTTGTCTATTTTATTTTGTATATTATTTAAAATAATCTTTTAAATTTTCTTTTTCTTTCGTCTGTGACCTCCGCGTCATACATTTTGGTTTACTTTAAAATTGTAATGGGAAATCATTGTCGCCAAGAAGATCGTGACATTTACTTTCCATTTTTTGTTGTTGATATTAGTGTTTTTGATAATTTCAGGATTTTTATCATAGTTTTCCTCAATTGGAAAATTTTGATCACTTTAATAAGAGTTAATGGGATAGCATTCATATTAAGCATTTATTTATATTCAGTAGATCCATTATTTTATATATTTTATAAAGTAAACACATTTAAGACAGACGTACGTATATTTCTCACAGGTAAACTAAGATAGTTTAAATTTGATGTTATTCAATATAAAATTTCTGGTTTCAATCAGATACACCCACAAATGTTCGTTATACGGTATCGCAATATATGGCTGTGTACTGTCACACTTTTCTCTTTCTTCTGCATATCAATGACTTGTTGCATATTAATAACATTCATTGCTATGCGGATGACAGTGCAAGTGGTGCTTTATATACCGAAATATTTCTCATTGTTAAACCGATGAGCGTCGAAAAAAATTGAGTCTGAAGTCGAGAATTTGTTACGCAAAATTTCGGAATACAGTTTAATCTAACACTAAGAAGATACAAGTTTGTGCGTTTACGACAAAGAAGGAACCCATGGTCATATTTCAATTTTGAGGTCCCCTTGTTGTCACAGACTCGAATGGAATTCTTGAAATTGAAATATCAAGCAGCGTTCAATTTCGCGGCCACTTGAATGAGGAAGTCAAGCTGACTTCTAAATATCTTTGTGCCCAGGATAGAGCAAGGCTTAATTTAAATCAAGTACTGTCTTCTCTGGCCTATTCCTGTTAGGCTATTCCTACCTCAAAGACCGGCAAGGCAGTTGTTATTATAGGCGACAGTGAACATTTAGTATCGGGGGGCATACGTGCTCATTTGCCTCCTTTCCCAAAAAAAATAATGTGTTTTAACATAAACCATTACGCATATCTCTATAACTTTTTTTTATTTACTAGTACACACAATAAGCGATGCATTTATTTATTATAACTTTATTTAAAATCTTTTTTTTTATGCGAAAAGTTGTCAAACTAGCAGACGGTTCACATGATGTTAAGTGAATACCGCCGCCCATGGACATCTGCCACACCCAAGGGTTACAGATGCGTTGACACCTTTTGAAAGTTGGGCTCCGGCTACCTCACTCACCAGAAGAAACGCGAAAGTATTTGTCATACTTCCACTTTACGCTGGTCTTCTGTGAGGTCGTGGTACGTACCCGGACGGGCCTGCCCATTCGTGCAACAGCCAAGGCTGCTGCGTGGCCCTACCACCGTAAATCTATCTATATGTGTATATTTCATCTTCAATGTAGCCTGGTAACTAAAGTGATAAAGACTTTAAAAAGAAGGAATCAGCTCGTACATGTTTTATTACGGCAACTATTATAACTTGTTATTCTAACATAAGTACTCGTAGTTTTGACCAAATTATCAGAACAATCATTTTAATTTATCAATTTTCATGTTGTGAAAACCACAGAATCGAATGCTTCGGAAAAGTCATAGTTAGCTTATAATAAATTAAAAACGAGCGCCCGGGCCAGCTATCACTGTTAGCAATTTTGTTTTTTGTTTTAATTGCTTTTTGAGTCAGCTAAGCCCTTATTCAAACTCTTAAAGATATTGAAAATGAATTGTCTATTACTTTTATTTTATAATTTTCATCTTATAATTAGTGACAAGAAGACGTTTAGATTAAAATTAACGAAGACGGTTCTTATCTCAGATTGTAAAATATATAAATTCCTTCTTTGTACTTAGCACTAAATAGGTCTATGTCTATACAGTTATTCATTTTCTTTTGAGAATAAAAAGTATTTACGTTAATTAGGAAATCAGAATAAAGTTTCCCATTTGGGTTATAATAAGTTATTTAAATATTGAAAGCATGTCATAAATTTTCCTAGCAAATGTTAACAATATAAAAGAGGTAACTTTCACGCCGACGACGGCCACTCGTTTTAGCTTTGCCGACGTAATATTACTTGCGGGCAGTTGTTAGTTTTGCAACGAGGGAGACAGCTTAAGTTTAGGCGTTAGATCAATAGCAACTCGAAGTTTCTTCTTCACAGTTTGAGTTGGTAATTAAGGTGGACTTAAATTGTGTTTCTAAATAAAGTCGTATGATAATTTCATACTTAATACCTTCTGAGTTTTTATTTCATTTTATTATTTTTACCTACTCAGGTTAGCGAAAACGATACAAAATAATTTATATTGCAAGGGCACTGCTTATTTCGAAATGGATTTTATTCTAGACAGGATGTATCTAGTCTGATAGGTTAAAATATATATATACACAGTATAATATACATACATACATACACACACAGGTATGTTCAGCACGTTACTTTTTCGTTTATTTCAATGTGTTTGTTAGTCTTGACGTTCTTACCTCTGTATTTTTCTGTACCGGTGCTGTGAAACCATTAGGTTATTATTGTGAACGTACGTATTAACTTACATACATCAAAAACCTACTGCTGGTTTGTTGATTAAAATAAGAAAATACTTTAAACAGTGATAGTTAGCGTTGTAAGACCTGCTTCTATCTTAAATAATCAAATCTAAGCATAGAATCCTGAGTATGAGAGAAGCTATTTCAGGATACTCTGATCGTAAAGACTGTGATATTAATGACTCTGACGATTACGCCACTTTCATTAGAAAGTTATGATAACGTGCGTCAAAACTTCTAATGCAACTACTAGTTCTAGTAAATACCAAGAGAGAAGAGATCGCTAAGAAAAACCTGCTAGTTGCGTAGGTGCCAAAGCAAGAATTAATGCGCTTTAGCGGCAGTAGTTTTGATCAATGGCTTCAGGGGCCCAGACGGGGCGAACTTTTTTGTTAGCTCTTCACAGCGACAGTAATAGCAACTCGACTAAAGCCCGGTTCCTATATTCAACGAACGGCCGTTAATTACATAGCTTCGTAACTTTCATAACGACTTTTAGATAAAAGTCCTTACGAGCCGTTGCATTACCTACGGAAAGCCTGCACTAGCGTTCCTTTAATCTACAAGTCATTATAAAAGTTACGAACCTGTGTAACAACTAACGGCCGTTCGTTGAATATAGGAACCGGACATAAGTGAAGGTAAACAAATAGTAAGGATCGATCGGTAAGTAAAGATAAACAAATAGTAAGGATCGGAACTTCAGGACACAGACAACTGCTTTGCGATGCAGTTCCACCCACTTATCGCCGCAAACGCCACTCAACAGCTCGTTTGATTTAATATTCAATTCCCAACGTTTCGAAAACTTCACAGAATTAAGTTTATAATTATAATATTAGACTTGACTAAGACTACCGTTTACTTCTAGTTTATTTATTTTATTATATATTGGTTTATTTATGTTTGCGTTTGCTGTGGCTTAGAAGGGTTTGTTTTTAATTTCAATGCAGGAAAATATGATACACATAAAGCAGTAGTTTTCATGTTATTGTGTATTTCACACAATATAATAAGTGTATAATATAGAAATATATTTCTTA